AATAACTTCTGGAGACGGCAGTGTAAATCTGTGACATCAGACAGAAGTCACACTGACAACTTCACTAAATGTTCAGTGTTGCAGGGTTATAGTTAATGTAAGTTATGCCGGTGATCCCCAAAGTAGGGGGGGCAGCCACTCTCTAGGGCACACAACACCATTGAAGCTATTGAATATTCGGATTTGTAATATTATATCGTCCATTCTCAGAGAGAAAACAGTTTTGTAGTTGTTTTTGGTCTGTTCAGTAAAGTCTCAGGGCTTTTTGCCCCACTTGAACTCACTAGGCGTAGTAGTAGAAATCTACCCTGATGGAAAATGACGCCACAATGTTGTGTCTCGTTGACTCAGAAAATGTTGTTGGCGGTAAATACAAAATGTTGTTATTGGAGATTTGTTGCAGGTACTATTCAGAGGAAGGAGTTTTCTTTTTCTTCTTTTTCTAGAAGTGAAGTTTTGTTTTTCTGACTTTGTTGAGGTTTGATGTTCCGAAACAGTAATTGATCCTAACTTCACAAACTAACTCATGTGATGAATGTCTATATTCTTTGAATGTTGCCCCTCAAGAATTGAACCATTGTTCAGTTGTAAATCTCTACCTCCAGCCCTGGTAGCCCAGTTGGAAGGCTGATGGGTTGGGTCGGTAAAATGATCTGGGTCTTAAAGAGTAAAGTTAACATTTCTGTGACTAAACAAACAGTTATTTAGGTCTGTAGGAATTCAGAGTTGTCACAGCAGTCTGTCCCCCCCGGTTACCTCATGTGTCTCCTCACCCAGTTCCAGGTCTGACCTATATTTGGAGACATGGCTGAGGCAAAGCAATGCAGACACTCTGAAAACCAAAGCAGCTGGCAGCAGGCAGACTAATACCCCACCACGACTCTGCCAAGCCTCCACCAGACAGGGTTTTCCACTTATTGCATCACATCCTGAATGTTCCCATTTACACAATGTCAAAGTCGCACAGAAAGATCACACCGGGACACCAGGAGCTGAGATTTGTGTCACACAGGAAAAACAGTGTCCTGCGATTGAACACAGCTTCTGCTTTTCTTGTGTCCCACATTCTCTAAACAGCAGAAAGACTGGGGGGGGGGGGGTTAAAAATAGCTCAGCAGAGACTGCGAGCAGCTGTGTTACAACACAGACCAAAGCTCTTCAAACACACAACACTCCCCATATGCAGATTTTTGCTGCTTTGGAAACGAGAATGTGGCACAAATGTGGCTATGAATGATGGGAAGACAGCGGCGGGTGTGAACGGGAATCAATTAGGAGCCTGTGTGTCCCAGGAGAGAGCTGCAGTTTACTGCTTGTCCCTGCTGCGCCTGGTTATGTCATTCCCTCCAACTCCCTCACAGCAACACTCTGTGCTTTACTCAACACAGAGAAACAAAGAACCACCAGCCAATCACAGAAAAAACATCCTTCTCCTTTTACTGAGTGTGAGTATTAATGACGCCATGGTGATATAACCTGAAGGCAGCAGCAGGTGCGTTCAATGTTCTTGGAAAAGTCAGTTTAATGGACACACCAGTCCAGAAATGCCCCCCTCTGCCCCCTCTCCTCAGAGTACCTTGCTGGACCAGTAAATATTATTTACACTGCAGTATCCAGGGCTGCGGTGATTACTCTGTGACTCACTCACGACTCAAACATTCCTGACTATGAAGAAAGTAAAACATGTTCTTCAGGTAAAGTTTCTTTTTATTTTGCGTTACTTGTTTTGTTTTTTTTTTTGGGAGGGGGGCGGGGGGGTTATTTCAGGTTCTATTCAGACACAACATGGACCATGACCATCACCTATAGATAAGAGCCAGTGTCCCCTCGGATGTCCCTCCTCCAGTCCTGATTTATCCACTTGTTGTCTCAGAATACGAAATTCAGATTATTATACAGCAATTGTAACTTTTACATCACGGCTATACTGTACTTTACTCATTATTACACTGTTAAAATTCATTATTACATGGTAATAATGTTAAAGCGTTTGTATGCCTCTAGTGTTTGAATTTTTTTTCTAAATTCTGTTTGGATTATTTATCCCCTAATCCCCTGTATGTAGTGACTTTAGTTGCAGGTAAATTCATTTAATTACACTTTTTTTTTTAATACTTCCTTTTTTTAAAATATCCTATTTGACCGTCGTGTCACCTTTGAAAAATGATATGGTCTTTGTTGTTGTTGGTTTTTTTGACAAAAATTCCTTAATACTTTGCCTTTTACATGTTTTGGGAGGATTTTTTGTTGTTTTTTTCATGAATATTTAACTCAGTGAAGAAAAAAAGAAGTGTGTTTTTTCTGTATACATCCTGAGTAGATAACGAGGTGGCTTCAACCTTCACCTTCTGTCTTACACAATAAGTACATTTGCAGCTGATTTTGACAATGATAGACGTGTTACTACTGAAGGTTTCGTGTTTTATTCCACTTCCTAATTTAATAAATAAATATACAGACATATATGTATTTCAACTGAATGTATTTCAGTTTGTGCCCTATTCATTGGAACATATTCAATATAAATATCCATTGTTTTAAATTTCAGTACAACGTCCCTGCAGCTGCTGCTTTCATATAAATACCCCTTTAATTTTCACCTTTTCTGAAAACATTTTTGTCCTCTATGTCACCTCTGATGCTCCGTACTTTTGAATGATCGTGTTTTGTTTGTTTTTGGAAATTCCTGAATATTTTTCTCCGGAAACCAGACCTAACGCCAACGATGCTGTGATTTTCTTCTTCTTTTGTACTGCTCTTCGTTATCTCATAGCATGAGCATCAACGCACACCACGTGCAGGAGCTATATGCGTGTGTACGTGAGTGCGTGTGATTCCACCAGACTACACCGCAGCAGCTCCGGCTACATTCCCTGGAAAACACCAGCCGAACCGTGAGGCAGGGACAAAATCCCCTGGTCCTGACTCCGGGGACAGAGTGTTTGGATCACAACTTCCGGACTGCGTCTGATTCACCTGAGCTGATCTAATACACGTTTCCACATCAGGAAGAAAAGTCAGAAGCAACAAAAGCTGCGTCTCAAAGTCACGGTCTGCCGCCGTGTAAGTCACACACACACACACACACGCACGCACACACTCATAGAGAGAGCGATCCGCCATGTGAACAATAAACCGAGAATCAGCATCATGTCCTCACACACACTCCGCTCATGTTCCTGTAGAAAAACACCAGCACACACTGACAAAACCAGAGACAAAGAGACGGACTGAGCCCCACGTACCTTTCTGTCCACCTCCTGGAGGAGAAAGAAAAAGAGGAGGAGAAAAAAAAGATTCAGGCTTCCCCGACACAAAAGCTGTCTGCTCCCGTTTCCTCCTCTCCCTGTGCTTTTTGAGGAAACCTCCCCGAAAATAGAGGACAAAAACTTTCTTCTCCTTCTACTGCTGCCTCACAACATGTGAACTGCTGCTAGATGTTGTTAGATGTCGGTAGATGGAGGTTCTCCGCGCTCCTGGCTCCGCTTCTTCCCTGCGTGTGGTGCGTGTGCCGCCGGACTCTTTGCTCCACTTTCTGCGGCTCCCTTTCTAGAAATATGTGTTAGTAGGTCAGCGGTTGCATAACAGCAGCTTAGGCTGCCTAGTCACGTTTCTGTCCTCCGTGTCTCCACACACACACACACACACACTCAGAGGTAGAGAGAGGGGAAGAGAGAGAGTGTATGTGTGTTTAAGTAAATGTGTGTATAATCATTAATAACCCATGTTCTTTTTTTCTCTCGAAATCTCCACCTCAACGCCCAACCACGGTTCAAACCATAGGAATTTAAGAGCCTACCTAACAACGCTTTACTGTTCAATATTTAAAATAACATCATTTGTACGACACAACAGAATAACATGGCATTTTTATTTTTTTAATTTTAAATTTTTTTCAAAAGTAGGTCACAATAAAAAAAGAAAAAACAAATATGTATGAATGTATGTATTCATACATAAAGTATTGTGTTGTATTTTAATCTGTTTTTTTTTCTCCTTTTTTCTCTTTTAAGCACAGGAGAATCTCTGGACTTAAATGTTTACCAGTTGAGAATACATGCACTAGGTGGCGCTATTGTAACCCAAAGGGGGATCGAATGCAAAAGAAGCAAAGAAGGTAACATTCACACACACACAAACATATATATATATATATATACATATACATTATTGTGTTTATCGAAGTCAACATAATAGTTGTTGAATCATTTTTGAACTCACTAAATAAAAAACCGACTTCATGTGTTGATGACCTCATTTGCACCTTTTGTGTGTTTGTGTTTAATATTCAACTGGAGGAGGTGAAGGTCATGGAAGGTCACGGTGCCTGTAATCCAACCCATACACACGACTACAGTTCATTTTTGTACCTTTTTTATTAATAATGTTTCATGAAAACATTGATGTATTTTTTCGTTCTCTTTTTTTTTTACAGTTCTTAATCTGATTTTATTGCACAGCGGCTGTGGTTTGTGGTTGTGTTTTGTAGTCGGAGGCAGACATCACAGCTCACATGGACTCATCGTTCTGATGGGTTTGATTGAAGTGGTTGGACTGAATTATACAAAGAAATCCAGTATTGTGAAATAATCCCAAACACGGATTATTAGAATATTATAGTAACATCTTTAGGAACTCTTCCCTTTTCTGCTTCATACACACATCAGGTGAATTCATACAAAATGCCTGTTGTCCTCCACCATCACTGTTACATCAGCCTTGTTTTCTATCACGCACTCACACACACACACACACACACTCAAAACCCATTTTCACAATCGTCACCCTCCCCCTACCTTGTGTCTACATCCCTCATGTATAATCCTTCACCATAGACACACAGCGCACCTTCACCCTCACTCTCACCACCATTAGACCGTGTTGGGGGTGATACGGCAGCCTTGAACTTGTCGTCTGGCTCCTCCCCCCTCCATTTCTCTATTGGAACCATCGACCCCCAGCACACCCATCCGTTTCCTGCTGCAGCTGCCTCTG